TGCCTGCCTCGGCCCCCTCCCCCGCCCGGGGTCGCCGCACAAAGGCGGGGGCGGGGGCGCCCGGCTGGACTTCACCACCCCGCTACGGGTAAGGCGTGCGCCTCAGGACATCACAGGGGTCCTAGCCAAGCCAAGTGGGGGGTCGCGGCCGCCCCCCTCTTGTGCCAGCGTCCTCCCAGTCTTCCGCATCTGCTCGGCTGCCCCCTCTGCGTCTGGCTGTCTCCCTACCACTTGCGTCTCAGCCCCCCTTTGTTCTCGCCACCGTGCGCTCCCCGCAGCCTCCCCCCTCCCCCTTGGTATTTAAATCGCCTCCAGGCCGGGGAGCCCTCCCCCCCCCCGTGGGCCTCCGGGGACAAGCAGTGTCCATCCCGGCGGAGGGGCCCTGGCGGGGGAGGGGCCGGAGGGGGAGGGTCTCCTTTGTCTGAGCGGCAGTGGCGGCCTGCGCCAGAGAAGGTGGGAGGAGGGGGAGCCCGGCCCGTCGCAGCCCCCGAAGGCCTCTTCAAGGGCCAAAGCCCTGTGGCGCCCACAAAGACGAGCCCAAGCAGGACTTGGGGAATTGTAGGCAGGAGCTGGCCCTGGGGGCGTGGGGGAGGGTGGCCGAGGACACCCTGGAGCCCAGGTGATGTGGAAGTGCCGTGTAAACTGCAGAAGGGGGTGCCCGAGCGAGGAGTTTGGGGGCTCCTGGGGGGAAAAAAGTCTTTTGAGCTGCCAGTATGGCGGGGGCTCCCAGGACACACGCCTCAGACTCTTTTTAAGACCTGGAAACCAGAAAAAGGGGTGGGGGGTGGAAGGACGTCTCGGGGGCCCCCTCCCGCACGCACCGCCCTCCCCCGCAGCCTCCTGCTTCCGCGTCCCTGTGTTGTCTCTGTCGTCTCACCCTCTTCCTTCCTACCCCCAGCCGGCTCAGTTCGGGGAAGCTGCAGGAGTTCGGCGTGGGGGATGGTAGCAAGCTGACGCTGGTACCCACCGTGGAAGCGGGCCTCATGGTAAATGACTGCCCTGGAGGCCCCACACAGGCAGGGTGCCCCCCTCCCAGGGCGCCCCTCCACCAACTCCCCTCCCCTAGTGCAGTAGTCCTGTTCTGCAAGAGCAGCCCACCCCCAGAACGCAGGCACCTCCCCACCCTAAGCTTAAACCCACGGTGCCAAACCCACACTCAGGCCCTCCTCCCTCCCTCTCTTTGTAGTCCCAGGCCTCAAGGCCGGAGCAGTCTGTCATGCAAGCCCTTGAGAGTTTGACGGAGACTCAGGTAAGACACACAGCAGACCCTGCGTTAACCTAGGGGTGTGGGTGCCAGATACTTTTCTATCCACAGCCACCTCTGGTAGCCCCTTCCTCCCCCCCCTCTTCCCCCCATGGATGGGAGGGACTCCAGAACACTTGGAGAGCTTGAAGTGGTTCTTCAGTGTCCTGTGGGGGAGGGGAGGGGACACACTGCCTGGGTGCCAGCTTGGCCTGGTCACTCTGCTTCCTTTTCCTCCACCCCCACCCCCCTCAGCACTCACCACCTGACCTTGAGGGCTTTCTCTCCCACGGTGGCTGCCATGGGGTGTGGGGGGAAGGGAGCCCAGCTTTCACAAGCCTGCCTGCCTGCAGGGTGACCTTGGCCCACGCACTCTCGGCCTAGCCCGTATCCCCACGCACTCAGTACATCCCTGCTGTAGAGACCCCACCACCCCCCCCAAAAAAAAAAAAAACTAGGTTCCCTGAAAGCCACCAGCAAATTCCTTTTAGTACTTGATCCTGTGGGCAGGGGCAGCCAGGGTGACCCCTGTTGCAAGGGGGTGAGAAGTCACCTCATCACACACTACCCCTCCTCTTGCAGGCCTTTGTTTTCTAACTCAACAGGGGGGGAGGGGCAAGGGCACCCAGCCTGAGGGCCAGGGAGGCCTAGACAGGATGTTAGGAAAATATTTAGTAAGCCGTTGAGGGGGGGAGGCTGGGGCTGGCCCTAACCCTGGTTCCCGATTTTGTTCAGAACTTTTTTTTTTTTTCTTCCTCCCCCCTACCCCCCCCCCCACCTCCTTTCCTCATTTTCTTGGCTGCTGCAAGGCCCTCCTCAAACTCGGCCCCTGGCCACCTCCCAGGAGAGTGACACAGGCCTCAGCAATCCGCCACTGCCAGGGTGGGGGAAGCAGGCTGCTGCCCGCCCTGGTGAGGGGGTGGGCAGGTTCCAGGGCCTCCCCAGCCAGGCCACAGGAAACCTGCCCAGCAGCCTTGGTGGCAGATTCTTCCCTCTCAAGGCCGTCACCCCCTTCCCTTCCAACGTGTAGTATCCTGCCTGCTGAGCAGAGCAGCAGAGCGGTAGAGCGAGGTGCGGAGGAGGGGTTAGGGTAGGGCCTGTGTAGCTGGGTGGTCTGCCATCCATACAGGTGGGGGACAGAGTGGGTGAAGAGCCAGGGGTCCCAGGAGCTGCTGCGGGGGCTGCAGGTGTGAACAAAGCCCCTGGCTGCCCATGGGGCTTGCAGTTGGCAGGCTCTAGGCCCCTAGGCATGTTTGGTTCACATCTTCCCTGGGCGCCTGCCTCAGGAGGGAGGTGGGAGTGTGCTGGGTAGAGCTGCTGGGCTCCCCAGGGCTGTTTCCCTGCCTAGCATAGTCATCCCCGCCCATTTGCCCTCCCCTGGTGTGGGGGGGGGGAGTCGCAGGGTAAATGGAAAGGGGGACTCAGCTGGTTGGGAAGCTGGTTGGGCCCTCCTTACAAGTGGTGTCTAGAGAAAGGGGTGCTGTGTAATTTAGTGTCAGTGGGGACTGTATCCTCTTTGCCCCCTTCCTATGGGCCCCCCCCCCCCCAAGCAGAGGTTATACCAGCAGCTGCCAGTGGAGAGCAGACCAGGGAGGGAGTTCTGGGAGGCGGTCGCTCTGAGTCATCTGGTCTATGTCACTTCTCAGAAACCTCCACCCCCCCTCCCCATCCCAGCCCCTGGGGAGAACAAGGCACTGGCCTGGCCCCAAAGGGGAGGGGGGACACCCATAAGTCCACCCACCCACAAAGTAGGGGCAGGTCACAAGGTTCACATTTCACCAGGGCTTGTGGAGGGTCTCTGGGGACATGCTTCCCCAGAGACCTAGTTAGGGGCCCCTTCCCACAGCACTGTGGCCGCCCCTTGGCCTCCGCCCCGCCCAGTACAGATAAATATTTATCTTGAGAAAGCAAAGGTTAGCATGGAAGCATTTGTCCAAGAATTCCGCCTACTGACTTGTTGGGTGACTTGGTTGGGAGGGGGCCTGAGATCACCCCCTCCTATAGGCACAGTCTAACAAGACTTGAGCCAAGAGCTGTGAGGTGAGGGCTATTTGAGGGCAGTGACTGCCAGTTGAGCCCTGCCTCCTCTGGCCTTAGCTTCCCCTTCAGAGAAAGAACCAAGTTGGCCAGGGATGGCTAAGGCCCCTCTTCGTCTGATCGCCTCTGTCCCCCACAGCCCCCAGCGGCGCCCGGGCCGGGCCGGGCTAGCAGACGAGGCTTCCGGAAATACAGATTCATTTTATTTAAGCGTCTGTGGCACCGACAGGGACCCCAGAGCCCAGAGAGGGGCGGCGAGAGGCCCCAGGTCACACAATGCTGGGGAGCTGGGCTGGGCTGAGCTGGGGAACCTCACAAATGAGGCCCCCCCCAGGCTGAAGGGCCTGTTTCTCTGCAGGTCAGTGACTTCTTGTCTGGCCGATCACCGTTGACCCTGGCTCTTCGAGTGGGAGATCACATGATGTTCGTCCAACTGCAGCTGGCTGCCCAGCATGCCCCACTACAACACCGCCATGTGCTAGCAGCTGCAGCCGCCGCCGCAGCGGCTGCTCGGGGTGACCCCAACATGACCACCCCTGTATCCTCTCCCTGCCGGCCAGTATCCAGCACTGCCCGAGTCCCACCGGTACCCACCAGCCCTTCCCCTGCCTCTCCTTCACCAGTCACAGCTGGGTCCTTCCGATCCCATGCCGCCTCTACCACCTGCCCTGAGGTGAGAATGGAGGATTATTGTCCCTGGAATTCCCAGGGGTGGACTTGGAGAGGATAAGGGTTCTGAGTCATACATCTAAGCCTTTCTATCAAGGGCTGTCCCTGAACCTGGGTTGGATAGATTATGTCTGGACCTTGGACTTGGGACTAATGGGGTGTTTGCTTCCATCCTAGGCTGCTGGATTATTTCTTTAGTGATTCTCCGACTTTACCCTAATAGGCCTAATCCTGGGGGGTGGAGACTCGTAGGTGATACCCTAAACCCTGAATTCTATTCACATGCTTGTCCCCTCAGCAGCAGATGGATTGCTCCCCGCCAGCCAGCAACAGTGTCAGCCCCGGAGCCAGCACCACAGCCCCCGCAGGGAGCAGCCCTACCCCTCGCTCCCGCAAACCTGGCGCAGTCATTGAAAGCTTTGTGAACCACGCTCCTGGGGTCTTCTCAGGGACCTTCTCTGGTAGGTGTCACAAGATGACAGCTATAGTGCAGCCTGTGACCCTGTACTCTACTAGGGCTTGAACTCAGGGCTTGGGTGCTTGTCCCTTAACCTGTTTTGCCCAAGGCTGAGGCTCTACCACTTGAACCATACTTAACACTCTCAGCTTTTTTTGCTGGTTAATTGGAGGTAAGAGTCTTTCCTTCCCCTAGGCTGGGTTAGATCAGACTCCTGAGTAGTTTAGGATTACAGGTGTGAGCCACCAGTACAGGCTAACTTGATCGTGCTCTTGAGGTCACATGTCAAGCCATAGGAGTTTATATGTTTATACTTGAGCCACATGGACATACACACACTCCTGGCAGTGGGTCTGAGTGCTTTATTTCCCCAGAGCCTGTGTCACGTATGTGCCATCACATATGGGACAAAATACATAGGACACACGTTCTTGGCCTAGTGATCCTGAATACGTGTGTGTGTGTGTGTGCTGTGAGCGTGTATAAGTGGCCATCGTCTGTGTGTTCATTTGCTCCTACTGCTACACATGTGACCATGTCTGTAACCAAGCTCCTAACCCCTTCTATCTGCAGGCACGCTGCACCCCAACTGCCAGGACAGCAGTGGGAGGCCCCGGCGTGACATTGGCACGATACTACAGATCCTCAATGACCTCCTGAGTGCCACACGGCACTACCAGGGCATGCCCCCCTCGCTGACCCAGCTTCGTTGCCATGCCCAGTGCTCACCCGCCTCACCAGCCCCTGACCTCACCCCCAAAACTACCTCCTGTGAGAAGCTGGCGGCCACGTCCCCCTCCTCTCTGCTGCAGGGCCAGAGCCAGATCCGCATGTGCAAGCCCCCGGGTGAGTGCCCATCCTGGGGTCTCACATCCCCACCCATCCTCCTGGTTTATCAAGGCCTCTCTGTTGTACACTGGTGATTGTGGGAGCAGCTGAGCCACCCAGGGGCTAGAGGAGCTGCAGCTGCTGCTCCTCCTGATCTGCTCCAGTCTGGAAGAAAAGGAGGCATGTGTGTATCTGGGCACAAAGTGTCCTTGTGCGTTCCAGAGGGGGCTCCAGCTCTACTTCCTCTTTGCCCCTTCCCAGCCCCCCTCTCCAGATGGCATTTGGCACCTCTATGAATGGCCAAGTCAGTCCTAGCTGGTGGGCTCAGAGGGCCCCCCAATGTTGTAAGGACTTGGAAAGGCCAGGAAACACCCCCAACCCCTCCCTATTTCCGATCAGCCAGACTGCTCCTGACCCAATGCCCTATGGGAAGATGGTGACCCTTCTGTCCATCCTGTGCCCACATCTACAGCCCTGTTCATAAAAGTGGGAAAGTGAGGCACTAGCCTCAGTGTCTCCTCAGGTCCGAAAATTAGCCACAGGAGAGTTCAAGCTCCAGTTTATTTAGTCAGCGATCCACTGCCCAAATGCCTTTCATAGCCCCTTGAAGAACTCTGCAAAACAGATGGTCCACCAGCCCTGCACACGCCAGCGAGTAGAGGGTGGGAAGCGGCTTCTTGACGCCCTTGTTGGAGGCGAGGGACCTTCATGTTTGGGGGAGATGGGGGGCCTCGAAATGACATTGCTATCGGGTTTGCAGGTGATCGTCTTCGGCAGACTGAGAACCGCGCCACGCGCTGCAAGGTAGAACGTCTTCAGCTCCTGCTGCAGCAGAAACGCATGCGCAGAAAGGCGCGGCGGGACGCCCGGGGCCCCTACCACTGGCCCCCCAGCCGCAAGGCCGGCCGCAGCGACAGCAGCAGCAGTGGAGGAGGCAGCAGCCCAAGCGAGGCTGCTGGCTTGGGCCTTGACTTCGAGGACTCCGTTTGGAAGCCGGAAGTCAACCCCGACATCCAATCTGAATTCGTGGTGGCTTAGGATCTGGCACTCCCTGCTCCTCAGCACACCCTCAGCCCAGGGCAGGTAGCCCTGGGGATGCCGAGTGTGCATGTATAGTGGCCCAGCTCTGGAGGGCAGGTAGTCACCTCCCTCCCCACCCACCACCAGCCTTTGATTTTTTTTTTTTTCTTTAAAAAATTCTCACCCTGGTTGTACCTCCTGCGTTCTCCTCACATGCCCACCTCTTCCTCCTTCACCGGCTCTGAAGGCCTCTGCGCTGGGTCCTTCCTCCCACCTTCCCCAGCTCCAAATATGTAGCAGTCTTTCCAGATGGCTGAGAGCAGAGGAGACCAGGAAGCCGCCCCCACCCCCTTCCGCTCTGCCTTCCTCCGCCTTCCACCCCCCCCTCCCCACACACACACCCGATTCAGGTTTTAAGTCAAAAATGTAGACGCCTCATTATGCACTTTACAGATGATGGGAGGGAGCAGGGAGAAGAGAATCCACGCTCACCCCCCTCTTGTAAACCTTGGCCTCCACCCCGGGCCAGCAGCACCCACTGGGCCACAAGCAAGGAGAAACCCACATCACCAGGGAGGGATGCCCGCAGGGGACTGTTTTCCACATCTGTCCATTTTTCTTTTTTTTCCATGTGAAGCTGTTTTCAGCAGAACCCAACCCCTTCTGTCTTGGGTCAGGTGGGGACAGGAGACCCTTTTCTGCCAGGAAAGGAAACTGCTAAGAACAGCCCTCACCCACCCTCTGTGGCCACCCTGCCATGACTCTGCTGTTTCTCCCTCATCCTTCTGCCCGCCATTCCCTATTTCCCCTGACCTCCCTCCGCCTGAGCTTGGAGACTATTTATAGATTATTAATTTTCTGACTGAGCCAATAGTGGTTGGGAATCTCTTGAAACTGGGAGAGAAGTGATTGGGGGAACACCCCCACTTCCTCTTCCTGGCCCAACCTGAGGGATGGGGGACTGTCTGGGGGCCTCAGCCTGCAGCCAGGATGGGGAAGGGGGTGCTGAGCTGTGAATGCCCAGAGTTAGGGCACCGCTGTGTAGCATTAACCCCCCCTCCCCATGGGGGTCTGCTGCTTGTCTAATTTGGACCCTCCCCATTGCTCGTGCTCTGAGGGCCCAGGCCCTCCCAGAACGGGGAGAGAGTCCCCTCTACTGGGGCCATTTCAATAGGGGTGGGAATTGTTTCGTTCCTTCCCCATTTTTTTTTTTTTTAACGATAATGGGATGTCTGGGCCCTGCCCACCCTGCCTGTCTTGTTCTGGCCCCACCTGTCTCCCCCCTCCCCCCCCTTGTTCTTGTAGTTGAGCCCCAGATCCTCTCCCATTACGTGTTAAAAGTTAATGGTTTCAGATGTGAACATCATGTGTTAACTGTAGCTGTAAAATTTTTTGTGGGGGGGTGGGTAGGGAGGGGTCCTGGAGGGTTAGAGGTCAAGGATTTGGTTTTTATTTTTTGTTTTTTTTTTCCAAAAAATGAAAAAAAAAGGAAAAAAAAAAAGAAAAAGGGGTGCATTTGTTTTTTGAAAAACTGTCTTGGATACCTATTTAAATGTGTGTTGTTTTGTTTTTTAACGATTTTTAAATAACGTCTGTGCCTCCATGGGTATGAGGATGGAGGCCCCAGACAGGAACCGGCCCGCAGCCCTCTGCCCTCTCAGGGCCTCCCTCCCCCTCCCCAAACAAAGCATTACCCGCCCTCGGGGTCGGGCTGTGGGGGTCCTGGCACAGCGCCAGTCTCCTGTATGGAACATAAAATTTAAAAAAAAAAAAAACACCTTACACAAGCACCGTGATTTCAAGTAATAAACAGAAAATGAAACACAAGTCTTGTCCCCGCCTGCTCTCCTGGAGGTGGGGGAGGGTCTCACCCACAATGGGGAAGGACCTCTGGAGTCAGCTCAGTGGTCTGCTCCCCTGCGGTTCCCACACCCCCTCTGTGGCTTGGGGGAGGGCAGGAAACTGCTGGGGCGGAGGGAGGGAGGGGCCGGCCACTTCCTGGTACCCAAGGCCGGAAGTCCCTCAGGGCGTGGGGCATAAGCCTACAGGCCTCTTGCCCTGGGTGGAGCCCTCCCTCGCCCCCTCTTAGTTCCTGGCTCTAACGTAGGCTCTCTCAGAACGGGAAGTGGGGAATCAGTATCCGGGGACGCCCAGAGCTCGCCTCGTCCCCCACCTCACCTTAGTGTAAAGCTCTCTAGCCCTAGGAAGGAGAAACTCCAGAAGTACTTCCTGAAGTCTTGATCACTGTCAGGCTTGCTGCTGGGCAAATCACTGGGACTCCCAGAGGGACCCGCTAGGGTAGGCCACACATACCCAGAGGAGCAGACTTTTCAGAGGCCCCAACCCCTACAGCGCAAATCCAGACAGGTGCCTCAGGCCGGACTTGAGGCCTCCCAGCTTGACCTAACCTAGGGTGACCTCTCTGCCTCTCTGGGCACACCCTAGCATTGCATTCCATTTCAGTTCTCCCCAGCCCTGAGGGTCATGGATCAACTCTCCAGGCCTTTGCTCCAACCTTGCCCGTCTCTGCTCACTTCTTTTGGCAGCCAGCGTCTGCCTGAGAACTATGGCCTGCACTACCCGCCTTTCTGTGTCCACTGCTCCTTACCAGCCTGAAACACCAAGAGCCCACCAGGGTTCTTTTTGGAGTCCTGTCATTCTTGGGCTGAGCAAAGATTTCAACTCTCATCCTGCTTCTTAATCTTACCTGTATTTCCTCATTTAACAAGCACCACAGCCTGCTAGACATAATTATAACTCACTCCTACTTTACAGAGAAGAAAACCAAGTTGCAGAAATAGTACTTGGGGGGCTGGAATATGGCTTAGTGGTAGTGTGCTTGACTAGCATGCATGAAGCCCTGGGTTCAATCTCAGTACCACAAAAAAAGCCAGGAGTGGCACTGTGGCTCAAATGGTAGAGCGCTAGCCTTGAGCAAAAGAAGCTCAGGGACAGTGCCCAGGCCTGAGTTCAAGCCTCAGGACTGGCAAAAAAAAAAGAAAAGAAAAAGAAATAGCACTTGTCCTGGAGGGTTAGAGGTGTCCCTCACACCTCTATACCTTCCTCAGCCCCTGGCCCCCAAAAGCCTCAGGAAGGTGCAAGTCCCTTCTGATGCATGCATGTCCCGTGACATCTCCCTGAGGCCTTCTGCCCCTCCCACCACCACATCACCTCACACTATCCACACCTGCTACTGGAAGGTGACTGTTTCATCAGGCCATCCCACCAAACCTCAAGGTCAATGGGCACAGAGTTGGAAGCCATAGGGTGGAGATTCAGGTAGTTAAGTCCCAGCCCTGAAGGTCAAGGCTAAGGGCAGCGTGACCCCAGCCACCATTCTGCCTCTCAGAGCTGGGTGGAGAACAAGGAAGGAGGATGCAAAGGAAGTGCCTGCTGAATCACTGGGGTTGCCCGAACCCAGTCAGGTGGAAATGTGTCCCCTTTGTTCAGAAACCCACTCCCCAGCATGTTGATTGCCTCTCCCCCATTTAGGGGTCCTAGCAGGCACAAAGCCATACCCTGGATGTGTCTTCACTTCTGGGAGATTTGAGGAATACAACTGTTGGGAGGGTCATTTTAAAGGCTGCTCTCTCGTCCTTTGTCCCAGCTGCCCCAGCTATCGCCGTCAGCACACACCTGCCCTGGCAAGGCCCAGCAGGCAGAGGCCACGTGCGCTGTGGAGGCAAGAAAAGGAAAACCCAGGCTCAGAGAGGGAAGGGGCTGCGGTGATCTCAGGGGGAGGGGTCACCCTGCACAGCTTCCTCTCTCCCGCCCGCCCCCCCCCATTGAGGAAAAAGCTGAATGGGAGGGGGATGCTCCCCCGGAAACCCGCAGAGATGGAAACGCGGTTTCCTGGGCAACGCGCCGCGAACGGAGCCTGACGTCACCGCGAAGAGGACGCCCAATCCCCGAGTGCACGTCGGGAGGCCCAGGCCCCGCCTACTCCCGGAGGTGTCTCATTGGCGGTCATGCGGTTAGATTATCTGCATGAACCAATGGAAGAGCGAGATGGGCATTTGGGGCGGGATTTCAGCTTGTCTGGGCTGAGTGCGCGAGTGCGGAAGCGCAGCGGCACCTCCAAGCTTACACCCCCCCCCAACACCCCTCCTTTCCCCCCCACCCCCCCTCCCGTCCCAGCGTCTGCAAACTTGGGGGCGGGAGACGTAGCCAAGGCCTGACGGCTGCGGTAGAACTTGGACGGAAGAGGGGGCGTACTTGGGGGCGCCGCACGTGGACCCCTGGCACGGGCTCGCCACGTGACCCCTCCTTTCACGCCCAGACATTTCCTGCTGTATCCCTGTGTGTACCTGACCCTTGCTCAGCTTTTCTGCAGCTTCCAGGCTGAGGGAGGGAAGGAGGAGTCCTGGCTCTGGGAGGGGAGGGGACCTGAAGGCGAGGGATTGGGGCTGGTGCTCTGAAAGAGAAATACAAGTTGACCAAGTGTTGTTCTACCAAGAGGGGCAGGATGCCTAAGGTAGGGGCCTGGCCACGTTAGCACTACAGGAGCCTAGAAACGGGAAACTGCGTGCCCTGGGAGGCGGCAGGGAAGTGAAGTTTATAGAAGAAAAACAAAAATGGGATCCAAAGCAAAAGTGACAAGGACCCCAAAAGGGTAGTGCTCAAGTCTGAGTCTGGAAGAGCAGGTGGGAGACCAGGGGCTGCATCCGGGATGTGGTTTGATGCTTGGCCGAATCTAGGATAGGCGGGGGTCCTAGCAGCATTTGCCCTGCAGGAGGTGGAGGCCAGGAAGGTGTATATGCTTTACATAGCTGAAGTTCCAGATCTTAGGGAGGAAACTGCAAGGCTGCTGGGAGAGATGGAGGTTGGGAAGAGTCTGGCTATACTTGTCTGAGATCCTGGCTGATGGGGCTGGGCCAGAGCTTGGGGAGAGGAGGACCCTGGGCTGGAATTCCAGGTTGCTGCCAACTTGCCATGGTTGTGTGTGTAAATTCAGGCCCATGTCCCTGCATTGGGACTGGAACTCAGGGCCTGGACACTAGCCCTTAGCTTTTTCACTCAAGGCTGGCACTTTACCACTTGAGCCACAGCTCCAGTCCTAGGTATTTTGTTGTTGTTGTTGCTAGTTAATTGAAAATAGGATTCTCAGGGAGGGGCTGGGAATGTGGCTTAGTGGTAGAGTGCTTGCCTAGCATGCATGAAGCCCTGGGTTTGATTCCTCAGCACCACATAAAACAGAAAAAGCCAGAAGAGGCAAAACACACACACACACACCCTCAGGGACAGTGCCCAGGCCCTAAGTTCAAGCCCTAAGACTGGCAAAAAAAAAAAAAAAAAAATTCATGGACTTTCCTGGCTTCAAATCTCAGTTTCCTGAGTAGCTAAGATTACAGGCATGAGCCACCTTCAGCCAGCCGTGTAGTTTAGTTGTTTTTTGTTTTTGTTTTAATTTGATCAGACATTTCCTCAGCAGGCAGAAGTAAGCCTCTGCCAGGTGCAAGAAGCGGTACCCAAAAGCTTGGGGGGGGGTGTCTCAGGTGAAGATAACCTTGAGGGTGAAAAAGACTAGGGGTTGTCAAGACATGTGAGACCAGAGGCCTTAGCCAAAAGGAGTGACCTTGAAGGTGGGCAGTGCTCCATGGGAGACCAGGCAGCCCTGGGCAGGCAAGAGGTCATCAGGGGGTCAGGGCATTGTGCCTGAGGGGGGAGTCCCCTGGGGTGATGCCAGACTGGCACTTGGAGGTGGAAGAAGGGTTTTGAGATGCCAAAGGCCAGTCTGGAGGTGGCTTGGGGGTGGATAGCAGGGAGGAGTCAGGCTTTGGGCCAGAAAACGTGTATGTGGGGGAAGATGGGGACTGAGAAGGTGCCCCAGGCACAGCCGCCCCCAGGAGGCCCAGTGTGATCCCGCCCTCATCTTCTGAGCTCTGGGAATGGGAGTTACCTAGCTGGAGCTAGGGACGCTGCCCCTCCTGGCCCTGGGCGTTGGGGCCCTACCCAGGAGTCCTGACTCCAGCCCCACCCACAGCTGCCCAGCCCTGGGAGGCAGAGAACCTGCTGTCTCTGGTGTCACTAGGGACCGGTGAGCCACCCAGCTTAGCAGAGTGGGGGAGGGCGCCTGGAGTCCACCTCAGTACATGGCTTGCTGCCTGTTCCCCTCCAGATTGTTTTTGTTGGTGGTGCTGTTTTTAGCCAGTCCTGAGGCTTGAGCTCAGGGCCTGAACAGTGTTCCTGCGCTTCTTTTGCTCAATGCTGGCTCTCTACCACTGGAGTCAGCACTCTACTGCAGTGCCACTTTTTCTGTTTATGTGGTACTGAAGAATCGAACCCAGGCTTCCTGAATGCTAAGCAAGCACACTATGATTAAGTCACATTCCTAGCCCAGACTTTTTTTTTCCTTACTCTTTTGCTCTCTCTACTCCTCTTTTTGTCTTTTTCAGCCTTTCTCTATTTCTGTTTTATGTTTCCAGCCCCCTCTATTTTTGTCCTTTCTCTGGCCATCCCACTATCTCCTGGCCCCTCCCCTACTTCCGCCCCCTCTCTGAGGGAGCCCCCCCCTCTCCCCACACCACCATTTCCCCTCCTCTCCCGCACGCATTCTTCCAGCCTTTTACCCGGCTGTGGCCCTTCCCTGGAGCCAGCTGCTGTCTTGGGTGCAGGGGTGGAGGAGGTGGGCTCTGGCTGGGGTCAGAGGTTGGAGAGCAGGCGAGGGCACCCCTAACCCCTCTGGAATGTAGGCGGAGCCAGCCTCCACCGACTAGTCAGTCGGTCACCCTGCTGGCAGCCGGAGACAGCTGGCTGCTACTGCATCCTCATTCAAGCAAGCCCCACACCCAGCCCCGGGGAGGAGATGCAAAACCCCACCA